GTTTTTAAACTAATAACTTGATATTAGGCACTAAAGTCCTCACCTCTCAGCAAGGTTCCTGTAAATTTTTGTAGCCCTGCAGCTTACCTCATCAGCAAGTCTCAGAAGCATCCGCAGAAACCTGGCCAAATGCATCTGCCTGGCTGAGAGCTCTCCTCGACCTGAGTAGTCTGTTCTGTAGAGAGCGGTGGCACTGTCTACAATAAGCAGTGCATACCTAAAGGGAACAAGAATTTTCTTTCTTTTTTTCTCTTGGTACGAGGGGTTGAACCCAGAGGCACTCTACTACTGAGTTACACTCTCAGTATTTTCTATTTTTTTTTTTTTTGAGACAAGGTTCTCAAAAGTTGCCAAGGCTGGCCTTAAATCTGAGATCCTCCTGCCTCACTCTCTTGAGTCACTAGCCTAACAAGAACAAGCATTTTCTGAAGACTTTCTAGCCTGTGTCAGTTTCTATTCCTTTATTCAATCCTGTAAAATCTCATATTTTAATTTTCATATAGGTGTCTAGATCATGTTTCTTTTTTGTATGTGTATGGTGATAAGAATTAAATCTAGGGTCTCACACATGCTAGGCCAAGTGCTCTACCATTGAATTATACTCCCAGCCCTTGGCTTCATTTTTCATTAGTGACTCGATCACAAAACAAAAGAGTGTCAAAATAGGCCAGGAGTGACTATGTACACCCAGCTATTCCAGAGGCTGAGGCAAGAGAATTGCGAAGTTCAAGGCCAGCCTGGGCAACTGAGTGAAACCATGTCTCTAAAAAGGGCTGAGGTATACAACTCAGTGCTTTAAGTGTGTGCCTAGCAGACATGAAGCTCTGGTTCAATCTCCAGTAAAGCCCATGTGCATATACACATGTCATAAGCATAATAACAGAAACTAAAATTCTCCATTTCTAATTTGGGTTACTATGAACAAGATACAAAAAGCTCTGGGAACATATTTGGTATCTTCTAAGCACATACCTAGACTCTACCATCATGGCTGACGCTTGATAAAGGAGCTGAGTCTGGTGGTCTGTGTTGAATCCTCGAGCATATGCTACATTATCCAGGACATCACTGCCAGAGAGACCATATCTAGAAAAGAGAACATTTCAGGCACAGAACTCAGTTGGGTGAGAAATTCGTTTCTAAGATTTAAATTACCAGGATGGATAGGTAAGAAGTGGTAC